GACTTAGAGGCAGTTCCTCTTTTTTCCTAGTAATGACGGCTTGCTTAAGCCATTGTTAGAATATTTACAGGTAGTCGCCCACTTACAAATGGTTCCGTTTCAGACATTTATACTTAATCTGAACTTTGAAATTTGAACTGTATTTCCCCCCTGAAAAAATTTGCAGATGGTTTCTAGGCTACCCTTTAAAGACCTATGTAAGCCTGTGTGTGTTCGGTCCCTCAGCTCTGTCCGACTCTTTGCGACCCTATGGACTGTAGCCTGCCAGGGCCCTCTGTGCATGGGATTTTCCAGGCAAGAATACTGGAGTGGGTTGCCGTGCCTTCCTCTGGGGGATCTTCCCAACCCTGGGGTTGAACCCATGTCTCCTACATTACAGAATTCTTTACCACTGAGCCACCAGGGAAGCCCCATGTAACATACAGTGTAGCTGAAATACCACACATTTATGATGAAAAATATTAGAATCACACTTCAGATGTACATTAGTCCCACTGTGTGACATTTAAATAGAATTTGGAGGTAAATCATTTGGGTTCAATGATACCTTGGTTTGTGGTGAGACGATGAATAATGGTGCCATGAAGGTGTTCCCATTAAGGTGATGGAGAGAGCCGTTGGGAATGCTTCTGCAGGAAGCCTGTCCATCTCCTGCATGGCAGGGGCCAGCCATCTGGATGTGAGACATTCCTAAGTCAGATGTTTGCTTATCAGGAGTACCTGTATGCTCTTACTAGTTAGAGCAAGTGAAACATTCATTTAAAATAATCTTACGTGAGGAATTGAAAAGTTTGTGTGTTTTGAATTCCTGAGCAGATGTTAATGTTGGTGAATGCTTTTCTGATACATTTACAGATGACATATTTCATTTTTAGTGATCATATTTGTGTGTTTATTTTTCCCTCATTTTTGGATTTTTGAAAATCTGTGTGTGTTTGGTTTTATTCCTAAAATTATTGATGCTCCTTAGTTTTCAAAGAAAGGAATTTAATTTACTTAACTCAAAACAAAACAGTACTTAAATGTTAATAGTTGAAACAAATTTAAGTCTAGACTTTTTAAAATTCTTTGCTAGGCGTAATTTATTTTTATTTTAAGAGATTTTTATTGTAGCAAAATCTTTGACTGTTTGTTAACTTATATTCATATGAGTATCGTATAATTCCTGGCAAAGTGGTAGTTTGGAAAGTTACATATAGAATATAGGAGAACGTGTGCTGTGAGTTTCTAACTCTATTTAGTGTTTATTCAGTTATTCGTTTAGTTCAGATACATTTCTCAGCTTTCACAGCTGCTTTTTTCTCATCTAAAAAAAAGAGGCTGATGAAACTTGCTTCCGTCATAGAGTTGCTAAAGTTAATAGTAAGATTGATTGGCATTGTATGATAGCCCATAATACTACAGAGATGCGCTATTAGAAGATCATGCATAGGGAAAACTTTCATTCCTTTTGTTTCTTTTACTTGAACTCTCCTTTTCATAGCCAAATTTCTCAAAAGAATAAGCTGCACTCATCAGCTTCACTTTTAATCTTTCATTTTTGTCAAAAATCATCAGTAGTATTAAGCATTGATATTGTTATGACTATGTAAATGTTCTTCAGTATGAGTCAGGTAATCATACTATGAGTTTATTTTCTTTCTTGAACACCTTTCTACCCCCCACTTCGGAATGCTCTATTTTTCTCTTTGCTTTGTTTGCTGATGTTTCTTTCCCAAACACTTCAGTAGAACTGTAAAATTCTTCTCAGTGTAGTAAACACTTCTATCAAATCCACTTTTAAAACCCTTTCCTTGTTTCTTGGAGGTATTCTCTGGGCGCCTTTTGTCTTCCTGTTCTAATCTGGACTGTTTACTCCTTAGGCCTGCTGAAAAGCTTTCATTCCGTCTGTTTCTTTCCTCATCATCCTGGGACTCTCTTTTACTCCTTTATGTTTTGGATCATGTTTCCTGGTTCCTGTGTTTTCTTCCTTTTTGATTTATTCTCTTGTTTTGGTACAGCACATCCTCTCCCACCCACCTCCTATTTCCACTCACCCCCAGCCACCCAGTACGAAATCTTCTTAGTCTAGGCAGCTCTTACAGCATCTATGAAGTTTTTACTCTCCTTTCAATTCCCTATTTGGATTGACCTCACCTTTGTGCCTCCATAGCAATCTTTGTCATGGCCTTCATACATCATACTTTTCAAGCACCTACTGTACATGTCAGGCGCTGTGTTCAGCAGGAGGGAGTCCAAGAGAGGGAGTCCGAGAGAGTAAGGTTCTTGTTCCCAAGGAAATTCTGAAAAATAGGAGCACCATGGTTCTCACTGGGGGGGCCATACTGCCCCCTAGTGGTCCTTTGAAAAATAGGGGGAAATTTTTAGTTACAGCACTAATAGGAGGGCATAGCTGGCATTTTATAATCAGGGGCCAAGAATAATAAACATACTATAAGTCCAGCTCATCTTTAGAATATTCCACCAAACATTCATATATGAAAATCTGTTCATAGTTATTCAAGCCTGGGACCTAACTCCATTTTACATGCAACCCCAAACTACTTGGCACTTTTTACATTGTTACTGCTTGTGTTACAGATGGAAAACAGCTATTGTCCATCGGTGTGGGTTTATAGAAGAAAATTTTTTGTTAAGTTACATGTGTTACTCTGTGCTGAGTGACTGAGCTGAAGACAACTCTTTAGAGTGTTGAAAAAGATTTTGTTCATTATTATGTGTATGTATATATTGAGCTCTAATATACAGTGCACAGCTTGATGCATTTGTACACATATATACATATTAAAGCATGTAACTGCCACTTGGGTCTAGATATTGTCTGCAGAGTTGGGAAACAGGATAAACCTATTTTTATGTTTTCTTTTTTTATCTATATTTATTTTTTTAATTTATTCATTTTTTAATTGAAGGATAATTGCTTACAGAATTTTGTTTTTTTGTCAAACCTCAACCTGAATCAGCCATAAGTATACATATCCCTTTCCTCTTGAACCTCCTCCCTCCCATCTCCCTCCCCATCCTACCCCTCTAGATTGATACAGAACCCCTGTTTAAGTTTCCTGAGACATACAGCAAATTCCCATTGACTATCTATTTTACATAGGGTAATGTAAGTTTCCATGTTACTTTCTCCATATCTCTCACCCTCTCTTCCCCTCTCTCCATGTACATAAGTCTGTTCTTTGTTTCTCCACTGCTGCCCTGCAAATAAATTCTTCAGTAGTATCATTTTTCTAGATTCCATATATATACATTAATATGTGATATTTATCTTTCTCTTTCTGACTTACTTTACTCTGTATAACAGGCTTTAGGTTCATCCACCTCATTAGAATTGACTCAAATATGTTCCTTTTTATGGCTGAGTAATATTCCATTGTGTATATGTACCACAATTTCTTCAACATAGGATAAACCTATTTTTAAATAGTACATTACATTTTCAAATATTATGCCCATTGTGTTTTCATATGTACAATAAATATAGTCACAGTGTCCAAAAATCTTGAAACATCAGGAAAATGTCCTATTTATTTCATTTTTTACATTTTAACAGTTAGATCCATTGCTTTAAATTTTACTTGAAAAGGTAACTTGAAGTTGAAGAAGATATTGACTATATTATTTGCAAATGTAACTAACACATATTTATCCTGCTTCCCAACTTTACAGACACTCTGTACCCAAAAAAGTTTCCTTACATCCCTTACTGGTCAGTATTCTGCTGCTCTTAGAGGTAGCCACCATTCTGACTTAATCATCATATATCTTCAAATAATCTCTCTCTGTTAATTTACATATGCAGGAAAGGTAAATTGAACTAAAAAGAAGTCTTTGCAACCAGAGTTGCATTTTATCAGTTTGATTATGAAATGTTTTACATCCGTTTACAGCTTTCATACTCCCTTATTTCAAAAGATGAATTACTTAGAAATTTCCAACAACATTTTTACTTGCAGAAGATTTTGGTACAGTGTGTAGATCAAAGCTAATGGGAAATATGTAATGGAAGATTTGTCTTTTTAATAGAACTAGATGTTACTGAATTAATAGAAGCACACAAAATGTAGGAATTTCATTTTTATTAATAAAAATTATTTTTGAATACTTCCTATTATTGCCACACTGTATATTAAAAACTTTTTGTACAGTGATAAGAAATTATGTATTAAATTTTTAATTAGATTGCTTGTCTTTATTCTTACTCTGAATCTATCCACAAAGGTCAACCACATATCTTCTCTGTTGGGAGTCACTGAGTCGTGTCTGACTCTTTGCAACTGCATGGACTGTAGCTCGCCAGGCTCCTCTGTCCATGGGATTCTCTAGGCAAGAATACTGGAGTTGGTTGTCATTGTCTCCTCCAGGGGATCTTCCTGACCCAGGGATCAAACCCATGTCTCTTGCATCTCTTGCATTGGCAGGTGGATTCTTTACCACTCTGCCACCTGGGAAACTCCATCTTCTCTATAGTTCTCATATTTCTGTTTTTGTCTTATCCATTCTTTATTCTCCATCACCTTTCAACAGTATGACTGTATGATCTCTGAATTCTTTTTAAGTAGATATAATTACTGAATGTAATCTGAATTATGGTGGAATTTCAAAGTAGGAGATAATGTTTTCTATTGGCTTTAATCCCTACACTTTCCAATGTTTTAATGCAGGGAATTATTTTGACTGACACTTTTAATAAAGCCATCTCATTTGTAGATATATTGTGCTTCCTAATTTTCACCATTTCAACATCCTGTACTTTGTCTTGGTATATTATCCACACTCTTTTAAGATTATTTCCTCCCCCCTTGTCATATTCAAATACATAGAGAATGTTATTTCACTGGTCTTCTGTATTCTATATAGAATAACCTCTGATTTTCTTGTTAAGTAAAGGTGAAGAGTCCTCACAGATTATTGTCCAGATAGCACCTGCATGTCTTTTATGACTTGGTATTAGATTAAAAAGCCTAAAATATTGTTTGGTGGTTTCTTTGCAGCCCCTCGGATGGAAAACTTGAGATGCAGAGGAGAAACAGTAGCTAAGGAGATCAGTGAAGCCATGAAGGTAACTACTACTAAATTATAAGTGAATAACATTTGTAGCTAGGTATTTGCTTTTAGCATTCATATGTGTCTCAGTCTGTTGTAGTAGGAATTCTCAGTAGTCTTTTAAATAGATCTGTAATGAAGTTATTAAATGACTGTAACATTCAGAATAATTACCATTTTTTAGGTACCTACTGTGTGCCAGTGTTATACCTGGCTTCTTTAAAGGTTGGGCTTCCCTGGTGACCCAGACAGTAAAGAATCTGCCTGCAATGCAGGAGACCTGGGTTCGATCCCTGAATTGGGAAGATCCCCTGGAGAAGGGAACGGCTAGCCACTGCAGTATTCTTGCTTGGAGAATTCCATGGATGGAGGAGCCTGGCAGGCTACAGTCCATGGGGTTGTAAAGAGTAGGACACGACTGAGTGACTAATACTTTAACTTAACTTTTTTTAAAGGTTGGTTATATTTTTTGAGTTCTGAGAGTTAGAAATCCATCAAACAATTTTGATAATACTACTAACATTTAGTCAGCATTTAGCATGGATTAGACCCCGTCTAACTGTTTTACATATATTGTATTACCCCCTTTAATCCTTACTCTATTCCTCTGAGAGAAGTACTGCTACTTCCTTGCTTTACAGATAAGGAAACTAGAGGGGCTAAGTAGATTTCCCAGATAAATAATTGTGTCAGGATTTAAACCCTTGATGTTTAGCTCCAGAACATGTACTCTTAACCACTGTATTATACTGTACTGATGCAAATAATCAGTAAATAATATATAATAGGAATAGCAGAAGAGGTTTATTAGAGCCAAACTGAGAACTATAGCCCAGGAAAGAGCTTCTCAGTAGCTTTGATGGGCCTGCTCCAAAGGGGTAGAGGAGGATCCAGTATATATGAATTTTTCGGCTGGGAAAAAAATGTTGTCAAGATTGAAACGTGGTGAAAGATTAGTGCTAAGCACAAAGAACAGATATCTCAAGTTAATGATTTTAGTGTTTTTTCCATGTATGGGAAGATGCAAGAATCTGGGGTCATTGAAATCTGTCCTTAAATGTGCATCTTAACTCTCCGGGAGCCTGTGTGTCCAAAGCACAGAATGCTGCTTCTTGGCTTTCCCGTCCTGATTCCCCTCGGGGCTCCCAGTCTTGGGTGACTGCAGGGGGTGGCGCCTTAGCCCTTTGTGTAACTGCATGATGAGCACATTCTTTTCTTTGCTGGTGACAGCAGAAGTACAAGGTATGTTTGACAGGCCATAAGACAGGCTGCTTGAGTTAGCATACAGTTCAAACTAAATCCTGTATAAACCAGAGTGACTTCCCCTTACCTCAGTATGTGAAAGTTTCTTCCATCAACTGTATATCCAACTTGGAGTTTTAATATTATTATAATAAAATTGTCTATGTTCTTGACATGTATTTTGCTCAAACAAAAAACATTTGGATTTTTAGTACATGAAAATTATTTTTAAATTCCTTCAGAATCTCCTCTGTCTTGATTACTTTCTGTAACCTTCTGTTGTGATGTGTATTGATCCCATGATTTTCTGGTACTCACACTTCTGTCACAGCATGCTCTTAATCAGGTGTTGGTGAACTGTGGTGGGCCAGGTTAAAACCCAGCCTGCCACCTTTTTTTGTAAATAAAATTGTTTTGGAACCGAGCCATGTACTTTAATTTACTTATTGTTTATGGCCTCTTTGGGGTTCTCAGGTGGGGCAGTGGTAAAGAATCTGCCTGCCAATGCAGGAGACACGGATTCAATCCCTAGGTCTGGCAGATCCCTAGAGTAGGAAATGGCAACTCATTCCAGTATTTTTGCCTGGAAAGTTCCATGGACAGAGAAGCCTGGTGGGCTTCAGTCGCAAAGAGTGGGATGTGACTGAGCATGCATGCATACGTGGCCTCTTAACACTACAACGGGAAAGTTGAATAATTGTGACAAATGTAAAGGCCCTCACAGCCTAAAATGTTTATTCTATAGGCCTTTATAGGAAAAATGCGCTGATGCCTCCTCTAAGATTTCTAAGATACATACTATCCTAAAATATGGAATTCCAGACATTAGATTTTTTAACTCTGAAATTCTGTTACCTCCTGTGTGTGTGTGTTTTAATCTTTTCTCCTCGCTGTGAGGCATTGTGGGATCTTAGTTCCCCTACTAGGGATTGAACCTGCACCTCTTGCATTGGAAGGACAAAGTCTTAACCGCTGAACTGCCAGGGAAGTCCCTGTTACTTCCTGTTTTACTAGTTTTATTTTACTACCAGGCATTATAAAATAGGAATAGAATATATCTTTTTAGCTTTAGCTTTTTGTTAAAATTCCTCAACTAAAATTGGTATTTTAAAGTAATGTCGATTATCTGTGACCTAAAAAATTAGGTTTTGGAAAAAGGCTTGACCTGAAGAGTTTAAATACTTGAGTGTTGTACTTATCTCTGTGTTTGTGTTTCAGCCTGAGATTAATGTTAAGTATTACTGTTGTTTGTTTTTTAAGTCCTTACCTGCATTAATTGAACAAGGAGATGGATTTTCCCAAGTTTTAAAGATGCAGCCTCTCATCCAGCTCCAGAGAGTCCACCAGGAGGTCTTCTCCGGTTGCTGTAGGAAACCAGATGTTAAACCCGAGAGCTTAATAGCACAAATAGAAACCACACCGGCAGAGACTTCTACTAGGACAACTACTGACTTGGTACTGAGAAGAAAGCAAACTAAAGACTGCCCCCAGAGAAAATGGTATCCATTGCGGCCAAAGAGAATTAACCTTGATACATAAGGCCTTTTTGTTCATCTTAAGAGGTGAAATTAGGCACTGTCAACATTTAGATTACAGCCTAATGCCTGGACAGGACTTTGTTTAAAGCAGCAGATAACTAGTGATTCCTTAATACAAATAGAATGGCGCTATGCTGGGGTATGATGTAGTATTTTCATCTGTAGTCCATGAAAAGCATGTTGTTTAAATATTGGCACAAAGCCTGTCAGCAGTCATTAAGAGTGCAAACTTTTACTGTCCTTAAATACCATCAGCACTTGGCTGCCTTACAGCTTTTGTGGAATTTCAGAAGTAACATATTCCACTGGGTTTCCCAGATATACATCTTTGTTTAAAAAAGAGCTGTAGCAGTTATCTTTATTTAACGGCTGAAAGTCATTATCATTTCTGCACAGTAGCAGATGCAGTTGTTTTCTTGGGTACCTCCCCCAGTGCAGTTTGCTTTATCAAATTAACATGCAGATGACAAGACTGGCTTTGACTTTGTTACTCTAAGTTCCACTAATTTGAATTTGTGGGATTAATTTTAGAATTTTTTTGTTTTTGTTTTGTAAGACAAAAAAGATGATTATTTGTGTAAGAATTTCTCTTAGAAATAAAAGTTGCCATGTAGCTGGTGTTTCTTACCCACACTTTTGTTTTCCATAGATTAACTTTTAAATATAAGTTGACTTGGAATGAATAATTTCTTTTCAGGATTTCTCATTATTTTTTGTAGATGAATCCAGTTCAAAAATATATATCAGATTAATACATTAAACAAATTGTCACTGTGGAAGAAATACAGATGCAACCATATTGAACTATTTTACATTTGAGAGTATTTACATATCAAGTATATAATCATTGGTAGAAAGAAGTCTGAGAAAGCAGTATTGCCTATACTTCTGAACATTTAAGTAGAGTTTCTCTAGCTCTTATTGTTTCTCTTACTCACATTAACACAATGTAGGCATGGCCATCTAATTTGCCAGCTGTTTTCTTACAAACGATTGTATACCTTCATTCCTTTACAGAGGAATTTACTAATCACGAGGTTGGAAAATAATGTACTTCTCTTGTTCATTTTGTCTTAATAATCATGAATGAGAAAGTCTGTCTCAGTGAAGAAAACAGCTACTTTATTGCATTCTGAATTTGAGTGTTACAACTTGAGATCTGTATATTTGTATACAATAATGTATTTTTATTAAAATGTACAAAGACTACAGCCTTGATCCTGTGTATTTTTAAGACTTGTCTCAGGCCTTCTGGAGCTCAGCTTTAGTTGGATGGTAGGTCAACACCTTGCACATAACTAAATTTCACTGTAAAACTGTTTGGAGTCTACAGAATATTGCTATACTAATGTTGCACTTTTTAATAATATCAGTACAAAAGTCTGTATGAATAGTTTCACTCAAAAGCATGCAAACAAAAGCATTATTGTTAATTCTTCTAGATTAGATAACTGAATTGTGTTTCTGTAAAAAAAAAAAGTCCTTTTTAAGAAATCCATATTGAAATACATAGAGTTCAATAACTTGATGTCTTAGGTTTGCTTGCAATATGTTAGCCAAGAAAAAAGGAGAGGAATAGATGGAGTGAGTATGGCAAAAATCTTGATAATGTTGGATCTGTGTGAAGCTATAATCTTTCTACTTCTGGGTCTGGAAATTTTTATAATTAAAAAGTTTCTTCTTTTTAAAACCCTCAAACAGCTGAAACTTGAAATCTTTTAGAGAGCTCGAAGTATTACTCCACAGTTACAGCAGAGTTCCAAATGAAATACCGTTAGGAAAGAAAATATGTTAGCATTATTAACTAAGGTAAACATGGCTGATATCAGTAATTTATTATTGATAAGTTTTTTTTTAATTGATAAGTATTTTTAAGAAAAATTGAGGGACTTCCCTGGTGGTCCAGTGGCTAAGACTCGAGTACTCCCAGTGTAGGGGGCCCAGGTTTGATCCCTGGTCAGGGAGCTAGATCCCATATACCACAACTAAAAAGATCCACCATGCTGCAATTAAGACCTGGTACAGCCAAATACATATTTTTAAAAAAAGAAGAGAAATTGAATTTCTGCATAGACTGAGAATTAGCTTGCTCAGGTGATGAAAAGTCAAAAAGTCTGTAGTTGCAAGGAATATTGAAGGAAAAAATAGAATATCAAATAGTGACATACCTATGGTAAAAAGAAGGCCGGATTGGACAGAGTCTTAAAATTTCCTTTCAACAAAAACCACAGTCAGACAAACAAGCAAAACACAGGAAGGTCAAATCCAGTTTCAAGGGAGAGAGAACATTTAAAGCAGCTGGTTCCTGAAAGCACTGAAAGGATATCTGTGTTTTCCAAACGTCAGGCATTAGAAACTGTATTAGTCAGCTTGAGTTGCTGTAACAGAATACCACAGACTGGGTGACCTAAACAACAGAAATTTAATTTCTCACAGTTCTGGAGATTTGAAGCCCACAATCAAGGCAAATTCAGTTTCTGTTCTTCATGCATGCATTGGTGGTTGGGGAGGTATTGGTGTCTTTTCTTATAAGAACATTAGTCCTGTTAGAAAGCTATACCTATGACCACATTTAACCTTAATTACCTCCTTAGAGGTCCTGTCTCCAAATACAGCCACACTTGGGGCGAGGTTATGGGCTTCCCTGGTGGCTCAGATGGTAAAGAATCCACCTGCAATGCAGGAGACTTGGGTTCAGTCTTTGGGTTGGAAAGATCCCCTGGAGAAGGGAATGGCTGCCCACTCCAGTATTCTGGCCTGGAGAATTTGTCCATGGGGTTGCAAAGAACCGGACATGATGGAGCGACTTTCACTTTAGAGCTTATGGATTTTGAGGGGACGCAAACGTTTGGTCCATAACACTAGACAACAGAAATCTTTTCCTAGACCTCTTTCCTTGGGCCTTCATGGCTTGGGTTGCATAGAGAACAAAGTCAATGAAATCAGACTTTTACTTTGCTTCAGAATGCTGCTATCTGTAAAACCGAGCTTGTCTGACTTCTATTGAAGGCCTTTGTTTTCCCCCTATATACTTTCTTTCATTCATTCATTCATTAATCCACTCAACAGATACCTGGTAGTCACTACTTAGTTCAAAAGTCAGGTTCAGAGCATAGACTCTGAGCCAGATCACTTGGATTCAGATTTCTTTTCTACTGTTATTAAATAGAATTGAGCAGGATACTTAACTTCTCTGTACCACAGTGTTCTCATGTATAACATGGGGGTGACGGTAATACCAACCTAATAGTGTTATGAGAAGTGAGTTCATAATATGAAGTCTTTAGTACTTGGCACATAGTATACATAGTGAGCGTTCCATAAGCATTATTAATACTTGGTTTGTCAAAGGAAGTGAAAACACTCATAGGATAAAACTTTAAGAGTCATATATTCTAGTGAGGAGAACAGTGATCATGCACTGCAGCAAATGCTACGTAGATGTATTTGGGGGAACTTTGGTGAGAAGCCATGGAAGTCTTTGTGGAGGAGGCAACATTTGAGCAATCTTGACTATTTTAGGGAAATAATGAGGGCGGAAGATGGCCGGCAGTGAGAGAATTCAACAGGGCAGGTGGCTGTGAGGGAGCTCTGCACGGGAGGACTCCCAGCTAAGTCTCTGTGTGGGTCTTGCCTAAAGAGGCTTGCTACAGGCGAACCAGAAGAGAAGCAGGAGCAGCTCTTAAGAATCTTGTCCTCCTTAGATTGGTGGGGAGGCGCCATTGATGTCAACACAGGAGGGGCCAGGAGGTGGAAACTCCATTGGATCCGTGGTCCCCCTTTTGTGTCATTTACCCCAAAATAGCAAGAACAAGAAAGAGAAACAGACTCATCTTTTGAGGAAGGTTGCCCCAAACCATATCTTATGAAGAAGGAAAGTGTATCGAGGAAAGAGAAATGAATTAACACATCAGAGGAATATCAAACCTATGTGTCTGCAGAGTGATACATTGATAAGAGAAACCCAGTTTTCCCCCGCCCCCCCCCCCGCCCCCCAGAATCACTTGACAGCTGAATGGAGGACACCACAGAGACTGAGGTGAGATGGAGGAGCCTGAAAATGAGGTGCTGTCTTATCCCCTTCACTCACTGTTGGTAATTATGCCAAAGGAGTTTGTCTTCTGAAAAAACTGAAAGACCTGGAGAGAAGAGTGAAGCTCAGAACAAAAAATGGGCAGAGTGAAGTTCCGTACTGGAGTGGTAAGACTTGGAAGTTCCAGGATACCGGCAGCCTGGTTCACACATCTTAGCTGGGCCTTCTTTAGAAAACCCCCAGAGAAAAGAGCTCCAGACAATGATGCTTGGAGGTCCCAAGCCACATTTCCAGCTGACCAGTCCAATTGCTCCACTGTGGAGACATTTCGTCTCTTAAGACCCATTCACACAGGGCTTCCAGGAACATTTTTGTATATATTTTACTCTCAAAAATGAATAGAGAGTTCCCTTACAGTTCAGTGGTCGTGACTTGACACTTTTCACTGCCAGGACCCGGGTTTGATTCCTGGTCAGGGAACTAAGATCCCACAACCTGCACAGTGTGGAAAAAGAAAGAACAGGAAGTAACCCAAATATCCATCAATAGTCAAAAAACAAGCTGTGGCATATACACGTAATGAAATATTACACAGGAATTTTAAACTGAAATTACTGATAACATGTACAGTCAGTCCCCTACACAAGAACAAGTTCCCTTCTGAGAGCATGCTAGAAAGTCCGATATGTTCATAAGACCAACAAAGTTAGCCTAGGCACCCAACTAATGCAATTGGTTATAAAGTACTATTCTGTAGTAGGTTCATAATAACTTTCATACCAAAAACACATAACAAACACAAAAAACAAAACATTTGAAGTCTTACAGTACAGTACCTAGAAAAGTCCAGCCGTACAGTTTAAGAGCTGGGGTACAGGACTGGCATCAAAGGAACAGGCAAGAAGTGTCCTAACTGGAGGAGGGAGAAGAGGTGGGAGACGGTGGAGCTGAAGGAGCCGTGACAGTAA